GACTGTGCTTCCTTGTGGAAGTAGAAAGCCTCAGGGTTCAGATCAGCTGGTGACTTCAAACTGCCCACCGTGTAACCGCCAAGCCACCTGGGCTCCTCTAGCTCCCCCACTAGTTTACTTGTAATTTTCAGAGAGCATCTTTTGCCATATGGAACAATGACACGAGTGGGATCCGTGCAAGATGTGTTGTTGTAGCGTTATATGTAATATGCCTACTCCTCACCCATTCACTCTCTCATTTTCTGATAGTTCACACTTAAAAGGGTAGTAAAACATCCACTGTGTATTTTGCACATGAATGATGGGTGTCTGACAGTCACGAGTGTCCAGAGGTGAGGCAAGAGGAATGCTGGCTGTGAGGATTAAGGCTATGCGTCAGCTTGACTGGGCCAGGATTCTCAGTAATTGGGCTGTTGTGTTATGGTATCATGTGGTGGTTATGGAATGATGTAACTGGCAGTAATGTGATGATGCAGTCATCCTCCAATTTATGATCTGATGTGATCATCCTCCATTGTTGCATAAGACTGACTTTTTCACACCATGACCTGGACTTTGGAACTTAATCATGTGGCTACATTAGGATTACATTTAGTGAAAAATCTCAGAGCAAACGAAATGCTTATCAGTAGAAGAGTGACCAAATTGGTTTATCCAAACAATGACATTTATATGATACAGCTGTTAAGTGAATATGTTATATTTACTTGATCAGATACAGAAAAGTATATTTTAAAAAATTCAAATAAAAGAGTCAGATCACAAAACGTTATTTAATGTATAATTTATTGAAATATTAAAAGTTGCACAACATTGTGGTCTATCTTCTTATGGAGAAACAAGTACAAAAATGCTATGCACATGAAGAGAACATACAAACTTATGGTAATAAGGGTTATATGGTAATACTCTCTCTGGGCAGAGAGGAGGCACTTTGGCTTTACCTGTATTATTTTACTTGGAAAAGAAACTGAAGCAAATACAGCAAACATAATAGTTGTCAAATAAGCTAGTATAGCATGGGAAAATAATAAGTCCTGTCCTTTCCATAATTAAAAATAAATACAAGCATATATAACGTTTGCAAGGCCCAGAGCAAGAAGTTCACCTGACCCAGGTTAAATATATGGACTGTAAAACAATGATTAGACACACACACACACACACACACACACACACACACACAGAGTTAACTCAGACAACATTGCTACAAGGCTTCCAGGTCATAGATACATAGGTTTCTTTATCGAAACAAAACCTGTTTTGTTTGTGGGTGGGTGGCTGTAGACACATTCACTCGATCACATACATGTCCTATCTTGCTAGGGTGCCTCTAGGAACATGTCCAGTCAAAACAGTGGCTTCGGAGGGGCCAGTTAAATTTACAGCAGAGATTAGTTCAGAGGGTTCTAGTGATGGGTGCTTGGGATCCCAAAGGGGTATTTTGGTAGCCTTTATTGCAGCATACAGGACAGTTATAGGGCTTACAGTGAAGAACTTTTAAGAAAACTGCCAATTGCTTTAGTGAGGACATAGACCAGGGAAGGTGCACCCTCCGAGGAAGATTTTTCCATCATGCCACTGCAGGTATTCATTCTTCAAAGGTAGCAAGGGCTGTCCTATGAAAATGTGAGAAACCTCACCTCATCCCCCTCACAGCCCCGATCTTCCCCCTTCTGTTTTCTTTTGATTCCTTCCAACTCAAAGGAATTGACGAGGAATATACCATCCAAGGCCCTTGAAGACGCCCAACGTGCTGTGCAGTCATGGTGTTGATCAGAGGGCAGTGTTCTTGGGGAAAGGGTGAGAGAGAAGACAACACAGCCTTCAGATTTCTACAGACCTCGGTAGGGGGAACATGAAGAAACAGTAGCTTCATATTCTGATATTTTAAAAAATTAATAAAGGTTTTCATTACCTTGTAGCAAGACTTTTTGACTTATCCTTATACACACACACATACACACACACACAGAGGCATACTCTCAAATAAATTACACAGCAAGCTTTTCATCTTTTCTGAAAAAATGTTTTGTCACATATTTCATCACTTTCTGATAGGTAGAAATTTGAAATACCGGAACAGCACACACTGAGTCTACCTGGTGTGAGGTGGGAACCCGTGGGAGGGAGAAGTAGAGGCAGCTCTTGAATGCGCTAGACTGGTGCAATCTGAGGTTGACCCAGGACATTATAGAAAGGCTAAAGGAGGAGATGATCTGAGCAGAGTGGGACATAAGGGGATGAGTCAGGAGCCAGGGCTACTGGGTGTGTGTGTGTTCAAACCGTGGTCTACGTGCTCTTTGGATCTTTCAAGAGAAGATGCTGACTTATCTGTTCCTTGACGTTTTTGGTCCTCTAGTGCCAGAATTACTGGTGTTTTTCCATCCATGCTGGAAGGCTCCTTTCTTGTGTAAATTCTGCCCAACTTCCATCAATATTTTCCCATTTGCACCAGTTCATTTTCAACCTGTATGGGTTACTGGGCCGTTCTCTGAGCCACTGGGGGAGTCTGAGAAGAAACTGGATAGGAGAGTTCCAGAAGCTGCCAGTGGATCAGGGAGAGACCAGGTGAAGAATAAGTTAACCACACCCCGAGAACGAAAGTTATATTAAGTTTTCCAAAGCCAAGAATACATTTAGCCTATCTGGATTTGCTATTTTTTTTATTAACTCACATAACTTCTTCCTCTATGAGCTCTGCGTGGATTCTGTGTGTGTAGGGCAAAGAGTCTATGAGCTCAATTGGAGTTTGTATCAAAGAGCACTTGCTCCAGGCACCCCGGTTCTTAGTTAGGAAAAGTTCCTTATTTTCCTTGCAAAGATGGTGTCAATTACTCTGAACATCCCAGTGGCTGGTTAGCCCATCGGGACAAATAGAATTTTGGTTTCAATTTCTCAGACTGCACATTCCATAAGTGCTATTTTGTGATTATTCTATTTTACACGTTTTTGTCCGTTTTGCTACCAGATATTTTAAATGTTCTACCTGCCTTGTGTCTCCAGTTGTTGGCTGCTGGAGCATTGCCTGACAGGAGAATGAAATGAGGGATCATGAACCATACGAAAGTCAGAGCACTTTGCTCAAAGAAAGTTGGGCGACAGAGAACAGTAGAATCTTTCTGGGATTACATAGTGAGATGTTAGAAAAATCTTCTTTTGGTTATATAACCGTGCATTTTCTACACTTTTTAAAAGAGTGGATGAGTTGGTTTAAGCAGGATTCCTTTGTCCGACACAACTAGAGTCTAACTCAAATGCCAGATTCCTCTTACTTTCTAGTGTTGAGGTCCTCAAAACCAGTCAAGAAAGTTTTTTTTTTTAAACATGGGCCACCACTTAGTTTGCTGTATTCATCACCTTGTCAAATGCCTGCTGCTGCCAGAATATCTACTCACACAGAACTGTAAAGAGGCTGTGGACTTCACTGAATACTTAAGAAGAGACAAAGGAGAAAGTTCACACTGCACAATGTTCAGCAAATGCCTTAACATTTTCACCTGGGCAATTTGTATTCTTCCAAGTCCATCTCACCGATGCCCTATGACTCGGGTTTTGGATTCTCTCTTTTAAATCATTCTTTGTCTTTCTTGGAAAACCTTTCCTCCACTCCCACTCCTCTTTTTACCCCTCTCCTTTTCTTTAAAGAGCTCTGGTGGCATCGTGGCTGTTCACTGATCTGCTAACCACAAGGTCAGCAGTTCAAACCCACCAGCCTTTCAATCCCCATGGAGATTTACAGTCTTGGAAACCCACAGGGGCAGCTCGACTCTGGCCCATAGCGTCGCCCTGCATCAGAATGGACTCAAAGCAGTGAGCTTTTGGTTTTTCTTCTTGAGCAAAAGGCAAACGCCCGTAGTTTGGCGTAGCTGTTCAATGGTCTGCCTTTCTTACTGAAGCATAACCTCAGGGTCTTTCAGGTCAACTCAGAGGGCTTGCTAAGGTCTTTCTTTCAAACAATGAGGTGCTTCTCCAAAAGTGATGAAGGGTTACACAGGTTGATGTAGCCAGAGCAATCTCCAAACTACCCAAATGAAGAGCGGAGGGCACTGTGGCCCCGACATTCTCCACACTGTTTTCAGCTTTGCAGAGGCTTAGACATTGGCCAGTGAAATGGTTTTCTAAGAAATGGTGTCTAAGAACTTGATCACGTGAAGGACGGCAGCAGCTAGTCCCCGATTCAGTGACTGCATTGTCTTGGCGGTTGCAAGCTGTTGGTGTGATCACTGAATGCCCAGCCCTTTCCTGACAAGACACAAATATCGTCTGCTTTTGACTCATGGTCAATCTTCAGCGGAATGGGGTTCCCCTTGCTTAGAGGGTCCTCCACCTACACGATAAGCTTTGGGATTTTGGAGGGTGAGCATGGCGGTTCTTTTGGTGCATGGTCTTGTGTCCTGAAGTTCTGACATTTCTGCAAGGTGCCCTGAAACTTGTCTTCATATTCTGACACTACCAAAATAAAGTGCAGCTTGATGCCCCTGGTGTCAGTTTTGTATGTGTGTTGTTGGGGGGGTGCCTTGCTTTGGTTGAGGGCCTCCATAATGCTGTGTAGAACCTCAGCTCACAGGTCTGTAATGAGAAAACATGGCCTTCGGAGATGGAAGAGACATTGGAAAAGATAACCTCTTGCCACTTCGTTTTTCAGACATGGAATTTGAGTCACCAGGAGATGAAGGAAGGGCTCAGGATCATACCTTGAGTTAGTAGTCAGGCTGGGTATATATACCCAACTCTTTTGACTTGCATCTGGGGCTCTGTCCACCATATCACATTGCTTTTTGCCTTTTCTCTGAAAGATACTTCACTCAAAAGTCTTTGTAACCCTGGCGTTGTATCTCCCCCAAGAGAAAGAAGATGAAGAATACTATTTCATACTCAGTGTGGATTTAGTCTTGGTCTGAAGTTTTCTCTCTTTCTTTTTTTTGGTCTGAGTGTTTGGATGAAGCACTGTATGGTGGGGGTGGGGGTTCTCTTTTCCGATAGCCCGGGAACAGGGTTCATTTGGAATCGCTGTATAAGAAAACAGACAGCACATTCTGAAGAGGGAAGGTGTGTCTGTCCACCATTGAGTTATTGCTCACTTTGATTGAGATTGTGTTGTTGACCTGCAGGTCCTCGAGTAAGAATTGTGAGAGATTTTGGTATATCTTTTCGGTCTTTACTTGAGACTCACACACCGTCACCATGGCCATCTTTTTGCACTCCTTGTTGATGTAAATCTCCAAACGTAAGTCGACAGGATGTCCAGGGCATTGAGGCAGGTAAAATTGTAGCTGACAAATAATGAAGTATAAACCTGGAAACTGGATCACGAGATCCCCATCTTTATATTCCACTCCATTAATATTGCCATCCGGGTTCCAAGACAACTTGTTGCCATTTTTTTCCTCTGACGCTGGCAAGAGAAATATAAAAACCAGAATTATTATTACCGTTTGAACATCCCATTCTATTTTTGTATTTAATTACTTAAAAACTCAGAATTGTTGAGCAATTTTCAAAAATAGCTTAGAATGTTTTAAGTCTTTCTTTAGGGCTTCCTTTCAAGACCATATTAAAATAGTATTTTCTGCTGCTTTAGCCACCTAGGATATTTTTCATCTTACCCTTTCCAAGTTCTATTTAGTTTTCAAAACTTATGTACAAATGATTCCTTCCTTCAATACTCAACGTGGAGGTGTCTGAATGTCCATGGTATTGTAGCTCTATCTCCTGCAAAATTAAGTCTTTTCCAGCAATAATTTATCTTATTAACCTTTCTTTATAATCTCCTGGGCTATATACCTCACATGGTCTGGACTATGATGTTCATTGACCCAATTAATCAATGAGCATTTGGTGGGAAACTAATATTTGGCACTCACTGTACAAAATACTAGAGCTAAAACATTCAGTGCTTTTTCATTAATACTCAAGTGAGCTATCAAGTGGTCTAGAAGAATCTAAGGATGCTAACTTTTATAGAAAGATGCATCACTGCATCTTATAACCACAAATGATCTGATTTTTCCTTATATCCCATAATTTACCTGTCTCCTCTTCATGTAAGTTTTCCCTCTACGTTTTACTTACTTATTTTGCTGTTAAGAAGAAACACTGGCAGTTACACAGCACGTGAACAGATTCTACCTGCCGAGCTTCCTGGCATTGATTCCATCCATTGAGCTGTGCAGGTACTCTCACCCGCCCTTTCTCAGTTGGTCCTCGCTCAGGAACACAAACTCACTACCCTTTAAAACCCAAACCCCACAGATCCAGTGCCATTGAACTAATGTCATCTCATAGCAGCCCTATAGGAGAGGGCAGAACTGCCCCTGTCAGTTACTAAGACTGCAGCTCTTTACAGGAGCAGCTGTGCTTTCAGACTGCTGACCTTGTAGTTAGCAGCCCAACTTATAACCACTGTGCCACCAGGCTCCTCCCTGACCCCCCCAGGGTTCCTCTCTAATCTGTCAAATTGTTAGTTACTATTGGCAGTTTGACCTCGTATACATAGATCTTAAAAGAACATACTATTCCAGGCAGAGGGATTTCCTCCCCCCTCAACTAAGTAAGCTAAAGTGACTTGGTCTAAGGTATTAAGATTATCTCAGGGCAATAGTTTCAGGGGTTCATTCACAAGAATGAGACCACAAGAATTCAAAATTCTGTTCGGCAAAAATTCTTTTGGTTGGGATTTTTTTATGGAGTTTTGGATGAAAAAGTCCACCAATGGTTGGAGGGCATGACCCAGTTCCAGTCTCACAGCAAATGGGCAGTTAGTCACAGATTCCATACCCTCCATCTCTTTCTGACCTTCCTTCTGCCTCTGTTAATCCAGGTAGATTTGGACGAATTGTGCCTCAGATACTTACACACTTTGAAGGCATCAGACACTACGCCACAAATTAGGAAGTAGAATAGAAGCCCTAACCACATTCTTAGACCAATTAATTGGGATGTCTCATGAAACTTTGGCCCTAAACCTCCAAAGGAAGGAATGAAATTCCATGAGCTGTTTGATTGTACATAAGTAGCCTCAACAACAACTGTTGTTGCTGTATTGTTGAAAATGCGATCTATCATACACTTTTGTCAATTCAACCTTTTCCAGATATACAACTTAGCAACAGAAATCATAATACTTGGCTGTGCAACCCTGCTTATGATCAATGTGGTTTTCTTATTGGCTGAAAACCCTCTTGCCCCAACCTCCGCCCCGGTAACCACTAATGAACTTCAATCTGTAGACATTTGCCTTCTCTTGTTTATTTACCTAAGTGAAGTTATATACTGTTTGTCCTTTTGTGATTGGTTTATTTTGTTTAGCATGGCTCCAAGCTCTGTCCACACTGCAGCATGTATCAAGAATTCAGTTCTATTGGCTGAGAAGTATCCATTATGCATGCTTCTCATTTTGTTTATCCAGTCATTTGTGGATGGGCTTGCTCCCATACTCTGACTACTGTGAAGAGTGCTGTCATGAGCACTGGTGTACACATCTCTTTTTGAGTCTCTGCTTGAAAGTCTTGTGCGTATATATGTATGTAAGAGTGGAATTGCTGCGTCTTGTAGTGGGTTAGTACTGGACTGTTAACCTCAAGGTTGGTGGTTTGAACCCATCAGGTGTTCCTTGCAGAGAGATAAGGCTGTCTGCTCCTGTAAAGATTTACAGTCTCAGAAATTCTAGGCTCATCTGAACCGATGGCAGTGGGTTTGGTGGTTCTGGCTTTAGTTTGGGTGGAGACTGTTTGAAGTTTTATAGTCTTTCTTTCTTTCAAGAGGCCACCAGGCATAACTGTAGGTCCCTCACATACACTTAAGGGAAGGGCTTTTGCCATCAGTGATTTACAGAAAACCAGAGAACCAGCAAACCGCGTGAGCTGTGTTTGGGTCAGTAACCAAGTTTCTTGGATACACAATGAGTGAGCATCAACCCTCAGTGGTCAGGATCTTTCGAGAACTGACAAGCTACTGGGTTTGTCTTCATTGGATCCGTGCTTTCCCTTTAAACCCCGATACAATTCAATGGACCAGGGAGAGGAAATCGAAATGCAAAGTGAAACATTTTAAATGAAACGCAATGCTAATCAGAGAATCTTGGCCATCGGTCCCCCATGTCTCAATCTTTTGCAGTATAAATACCTCTTCTGTTCTGTTTGTAGGGGCTTCTTACCTGGGGCATGTGGCAATATGCAAAGAAGTGCCCGCCAGCATGTTCATTCAGCTGTTCATCTGGGAGACAAAGCCATTTTGTGGGTCCATTGTGGCTAACTCCACAGAGGCAGAGATTAAGAGCCTGCTTCCTGACTCCTATTGACCCTGTAGGACACAGTAGAACTGTTCCTTTGGATTGCCAAGACTGTAAATTTTTATGGGGAGAGAAAGCCTTGTCTTTCTCCTGAGGAGTGAGTGCTTCATGGTATTGAATTGTTGACTTTGTGATTAGCAGCCCAACCTATAACCCATCGCGCCACCAGAGTAGAATCAGTGAGATGGTAATGAGTTTTCCCTTGCATTAAGAGAAGTCCTTGACTCTGATGGGAGGCTGCCTAGAGTGGGGTGATGGTGCTGCTAGCAATGGCAGCCGCCTAAAGGCAAATGGCCAACCCCGCTGCTGTGGGGTTGATCCTGGTGCAGAATGACCCGCTATAGGGTTTCCTAGACCATAAAACTTTCTAGAGGAGTGTCTGGTGGGTTTGAATGGCCAACCTTGTGGGTACAAGCAGTCCAATGCCTAATCATAGCACCGGCAGGACTCTTTAGGGGGTAGCCAGATGGGATGAAAATAGGAGGAGGGGCCAGGTGGTTACATAAATGATTGGAAGGGACCAAGGAAGTCAGAGCCCTCTCATGTTGGAGTTAACCCTTTAACCCTAAGGTATTCACATGCAAATCACACACACACACACACACACACACACACACACACACACACCCCTTATGCAAGAAAACCAAAATTCGATGATGGGCCTCTATGTGGAAGCCCATGCCCCCTTGGTTCAGGAGTTGTGGAAAGGCCAAAAGAAATGGTACTTATATGGTCTTCGGTCTCTGGATTCAGTTGGCACTGACCTTGGAGATAGGCCCATGATTTCTTGAATGAAGTGTTCTTCAGGATACTGAAGATGTTCTCTGAGCCATTTTCTAAGAATAAGAGATCACAGTTAAACGTCTTTGTTGTACAGGGAGCTAGAGCTACCAGATGGCTTCCCATGCCCTTGGAAGGAGAGAAGTATCCTTCCGTTTCTTTGATGTTCATTCTGCCACCCACGACCTTCAGCTTTTCTACCCTTGATTGCTTATATTTGGGGGCTTGAGATAAAATGTTGGGGATCAGGGAAGGAAATGAATTTCTAAATTATGCTGGGTGCCAACCTTTCCTGTCACTTTGTATACTTAATTTCACTTCCTCTTCACAGCAGGGGCAGTATCAAGACCACTTTACAGATGGAAAGAGACTGAGCACCAGAGAGGGGGATGCAAATTATTTCATGCCACTCAGCAAGGCAGTTGTAGCCAGATAGTTAGTGATAGCAATTATTCTTGTCCTTTCTTGAAAACCTAGTGTCCATGAGACACTAGTCTGAGCACTTTTTCATATAAGACTAATCCGGTTCTCAGAATAATCCCACAAGGGAGTGGGCCGTCGTTTCTGATGTCTGCACTGTAGACAGAGGATAGGCTTGAAGCGTTGGGATGAGTGCCCATGTCTCCTGGTTCCAGGTCCCAGGTTTCCTTCACTAGATTCTTCTCCTAGACGATAGCGATGAAGCTGTCCTTGTGTTCAATTTTAAGAGGATTGAGGCTCTTAGCAGGAGGTCTGCTACCTGGATCTTCTTTGGCAGAGGCAAAGGCATGCTTATGTCCCCATGGCATTTAGGAAATAAAGCTTCCTTCAATATATTTGTGAGTGACTAAGGCTTAGTCTTTTACTATGGCAGACACTGTTGATGCAAAGGGCCACACGATTCATTTCCAAAATTAACTCAGGGATGTAACCGATACTGGGTCCACCTTTCCTCTTCTCTCTCCCAAACGAAGAGGCTCTAACCTGACCCTGACATCTTGTCAGTGACGGCAGCAGAGATGGCCACTCATCCCATCCGTCAGAGACCAGACCCATGTCCAATTGAAGCAGCCACGCCTGGTGGGGCAGTTACCAACTTGAGGACGTTGGAGTGATAATCCTTGGGTTCAGAACCTTTCCCAAAACCCTCTCTGTCAGGCCTGAGAGAGTCCTGACCAACCTTCCTCACAGTTCTAGAGAGTGGGGAACTGGAAGTGGGGGGTCAGACTTGGGAGAGTTGAAAGACAGTAAAGACTTCCCTCTGCTGTCTGAACATGGGTACTGCTAGCAACACTCCCAAGAGAAGTGGGGGGTGGGCAGAGGGTTTCCATGTCTGTGCCCTCCATACATAGACTGTTGTCCAAAGTTTCTCTTGGGAATGAGGGTTGCAGGGCCAGGTGCTACTGCCTTCTGCGATCCTATCTATCACGGTTAGTCTACTTTCAATTTTCTTAGGCTATAAAAACAACAATGCATTGCGATCCATTCGATTCCAACACATAGCAACCCTATAGGGCAGCAGAAACGTTCCCTATGGTTTTCCAAGGCTCTAAAGTCTTTATGGGAGCAGAAAGCCTCCTCTTTATCCCAAGGAGTGGGTGCCGGTGGTTTCAAACTGCCTGTCTTCCGGGTTAGCAGCCCAATGAAGAGCACGTGATGCCCTCAGGCCTCCTCGGGCCCCATCATCGCCAGTTATTTCATGAACACTGATCTAGGTTGCTATGAGTTGATGTGCACTCGATGGCAGGGAGTTTAACTTAGATGTTGCTGTGAAGGTATTTTGAAGATTAATTTAAAACTATAATAATTTCTAGTTGAAGTGAAGACGATTACCCAGGAAAACATGGGGGGGTCTGATCCAATCAGCTGAAGGCCTTAAGAGCAAAAAATAATTTTCTAGAGAAGAAGAACTTCTGCCTTTGGACTGCAGCATCAACCCTGCCTGAGTTCCCAACCTGCCAGCATGCCCCACAAATTTCAGACTTACCAGCTGTCTCAACCCAGTGGGCCTATTCTTTAAGTTCAAACTTAGCCACCCACATTCTCTCTCGCCATTGCTTGTCTACGGTATCATTCTTATGCCAACTCCCAAAGACAAATATAAATGGGACTTAGAAAGATACCTATAATAAAAGGAAGTAACAATTAAAATGAAAAAAATTAAACAAAACAAACAAACAATAAGCAAAACCAAAAGAGGCATTTTGACCTCTGTTAGAACGGACTTATAAAAAGGATTGTGGGAAAGGAACTCTATCACAATCCAGGCACTTCCTGTAGGAGAGGGTTTCAAAAACTTTGCGAAAGATGGGATTAAAAGATAATGTTGTTTTCTCAAACATCCTGAAGCCCTCTTGTGTGCATGTGTGTTTAATACATACACACACCCCTCTGAGGGCATAATGGGTTCGTGTTTGACTGCCAACCTGAAGGGTGATTGTTTAAACCCACCCGGAGACTCTGCAGAAGAGAAGACTTAGAGCTCTGCCTCTGTTAAGATGAGCCAAGGAAATCCTATGGAACTAGTCTGCTCTCTAACACAAAGGAATGGAGTTGCCATTGATCAGAATTGACTCCACAGCAGCTAACAACAATCGCTCTCTCTTTTTCTCTATGTGTATATGTGCACGCACATGCGCGTGCACACACACCTGTACACACACACACACACACCTCCTTCTGGTTCTGTTTCTCTGGAGAACCCTGACTGGCCAGCATCCCTGACTCATCCTCTGACCATCATTTTTTTTGTCCTGTCCACAGCACCCTCTTGGGCTGTAGCGCACCCCTGGGGACTATTGATTTTCCTAGTGAAGTGTGACAATCATTAGAGAGTTCTTCTACCCCAGTCCCTTCTTCTGGACTCTTCTCCTGGGGTTTCATATCCGAAGGCGCTACAGCATGCAGATTTGACTCCAACTCTTCCCTCCTTGGGGTCCCTTTCTAACTCATCTTTTCCTGCAGGGTCAGGTCCAAGTTCACAAGCAGTGCACTCATATACCTATAGCTACGGACTCCTGTTGACCTCTCCAGTCTCATCCCTCATTCCCTTGTGGTCCTTGCTCTATGGTGCAGGGGTGGTGATAAGGATAATGAGAGCAGTAGTATAGTACTGTAGAAACAAACTATCGTAATCACAATAATAGCCCCCGATTATTGAATGCCGGCTATTTTCTAGGTACCCACAGCACCTAAGCGCGTAAGAACTCTGGAGGTGCGGTGGGGCTGCTAACCAAAAGGTCAGAAGTTTGAACCCACCGGCTACTGCCTGGGAGAAAGCTGAGGCAGTCTGTTCCTATCAAGATGAACAACCTCGGTGGTATTATCTGCTCTATCTATCCTACAAGGTTATTGTGAGTCAGAATCAACTTGATGACCGTGGGGGGTGGGGTGGGGGGGCGCTAAGCACCTAGCATGCATTATTTCCCTCCATTCTTAGAGCCACCACAGAAGAGGTAGTACAATGATTTCTGTCTTGCATGCCACGCACCCGAAGCATTCAAAGGTTAAGTGACTTGTTGGCATTCACACAGCCGCTCAGTGGTGGAGTGGAGACTCAGATCTGAGCCATCTGACTCTAAGGCCCCATTAGAGTTTTGACCACTCTTTTTGGAGTTTGGAGGCTTTCAGTGTCCCCAAACACACTGTGCTGACTTGTCATTCCTCCTTAGCACCTGCTGCTCCCACTGCCTGAAATTCCCCTATCACCTGGCAGTTTGTTATCTGCCTTGAGAGGGCTTTTCTGACCCTTCGTTATTGACCTCTCCATTAGAGTCTGAACGCTCAGGCTGAAGACCACTATGTAAACGAGCCCATTGCCAGGGGGAGAAAGATGGGGCTTTCTACTCCCATGAGGCATTACTATCTTGGAAACCCACAGGGGCAGTTCTACCTTGTCCTGCAGGGTTGCTACGAGTCGGCATCGACTTGAGGGCAGTGAGGGATTCTCCAGCTTTAGTCTAGAAGGTTCTGTCTGCTTGTTGCTTGACCCATCTAGTCTGTCTTTTTTATCTTCCTCTGTGGATGTTCCCCAAAGTCACTGCTAGTGAGGCAATTCTGGCGCACAGTGACCCTATGGGACAGAGCAGAGCTGGTGTCGTGTGTTTCTGAGACTGTTTCTCTGTGTGGGAGTAGAAAGCCTGTGGATATTATGGAAGAATACGTGGAACAAATGAGGTGCATGGGGCTGCCTGGCTAGGGTCCCCTCAGGGCTGGAATAACAAAGGCCCCCATTCTCAGATTGATTTGCAAGATAGTTAAGATGCCAAGAGAAGACATTTGCCCTGGGCTGAGGCTGGCCCACCTTACAGAGACCAGGCTCTTTGGTCAGAGGCTCCCCCCCCCCTGCACTGGTGGCGGGACCTAAGAAGCAAACTTCGATAAACAGGAGGCAGTCTCAGGACAAGCCCGGGCTTGTTGCCTCTCGCACATTCAGGTCTTTGCAATTTCTTCCCCCTTTGGTCTTTACATGTTTAGTGGGCTGACCTCAGTTGTAATTCTGAGAAATGTAAGGATGGAAAAAAACAAAACAAAACAAAAAAAACACACCCTACCTATTTTGAAGCACTTGCGTTTCCTGAAGTCAAATGGCAAGGTATATTTCAGTTTTCTGAAAGAATCTTTTCAGATGGGTTCAAGCTGAAGGCGAAACAGGAGTGCCCTTGTGAAAGGGCGTATCAGTGTCCTTTCACTTAGACACAGCCGTCACCACAGAGACCAGGCTGCCGGCTCTGTGGGGCCCACGCACGAAGGAACTGTGTGGTGGTGCAGGAACTGAGCTGTGCTACTGACCAACACTTTTCTCATCCCCCTTTCTGGGAAGAGGCGATGGAAAGGCCTTAACTCAGGGCACTCAGATCACGTGGTAAGCCCACAGAGAGCTGGCAGCTTCAATACGATCCTGCCAGTCAGCACTGTTCAAAGAGGAGGGTTAGGAGCCAGACAAGCATTTCCTGGGCTGTTAGTGAAAGGGCCTACATCTCGTTCTCATCCTGAGAGTCCATGCCATGACTTTCCTTTCTCAGGAAGAAGTGACTGAAAAATTGGGGTTATTACGTGGATTTGGAATCCTGTAATG